GAAATTAAGCATTTTATTTAATCAATATTACCTTGCTCTTTGCAGACACAATACAGTTGTGACCAAAATTATTCAACCCCCACTGAAATTGAGTGTTTTGGCCAGTTTGACATTGCTTTTGATCATTCAGTCATCTTGCTTACATTTACATTAAAGAGGCACTTGTAGGTCAGACAAATATAACATAACAGTTATAATGAAATAACCACAAATGTCTTTTCTGTGCTCACAGCATTATCAGTTTTATTCAACCCCCAAGTGACATTCAATCTTAGTACTTAGTACAGCATCCTTTTACAGTTATAACAGCTTTTAAACGTGAAGCATAGCTTGACACAAGTGTCTTGCAGCGATCTACGGGTATCTTCGCCCATTCTTCATGGGCAAAGGCCTCCAGTTCAGTCACATTCTTAGGCTTGCGCACTGCAACTGCTTTCTTTAAGTCCCACCAGAGGTTCTCAATCGGATTTAAGTCTGGTGACTGCGATGGCCACTCCAAAATGTTCCAGCCTTTCCTCTGCAACCATGCTCTAGTGGACTTGGAGGTATGCTTGGGATCATTGTCCTGTTGAAAGGTCCAACGTCTCCCAAGCCTCAGGTGTGTGACGGACTGCATCACGTTTCCATCCAATATCTCCTGGTACTGAAGAGAATTCATGGTACCTTGCACACGCTGAAGCTTCCCTGTACCTGCAGAAGCAAAACAGCCCCAAAGCATGATTGACCCTCCACCATGCTTCACAGTAGGCAAGGTGTTCTTTTCATCATAGGCCTTGTTCTTCCTCCTCCAAACATAGCGTTGATCCATGGGCCCAAACAGTTCTAATTTTGTTTCATCAGTCCACAGAACACTATCCCACAACTTTTGTGGTTTGTCCACATGGCTTTTGGCATACTGCAGTCGACTCTTCTTATTCTTTGGAGACAGCAAGGGGGTACGCCTGGGAGTTCTGGCACGGAGGCCTTCATTACGCAGTGTGCGTCTTATTGTCTGGGCTGAAACTTCTGTACCCACATCTGACAAATCTTTTCTCAGTTCCTCAGCAGTCACACGGGGACTTCTCTCCACTCTACGCTTCAGGTAGCGCACAGCAGTCGAAGTCAGCATCTTCTTTCTGCCACGACCAGGTAGCGTTTCAACAGTGCCCTTTGCCTTGAATTTGCGAATGATGCTTCCTAAGGTGTCTCTTGGTATGTTTAACATCTTTGCAATCTTCTTATAGCCATTGCCCTTCCTGTGAAGAGAAATCACCTCTTCTCTTGTCTTCCTGGACCATTCTCTTGCCTTCACCATGTTTGTAACCACACCAGTAAATGTCTAGAAGGAGCTGAGTATCACAGTCATTTTAAAGCTGCCTAATTGGTGCTTATTATGCTTGATTGCTGCTCGGTGACATCCACAGGTGTTTTCAATACCTGATGGAAAGCACCTGTATGAACCTCTGTTCTTCAGAGTGGTAGTCTTTAAGGGGTTGAATAATTGTGGCAATGAAGAAACCACATAAGAACCATTTACTACTGTATTACATAAACAATTGATGTCATTTTAGTTGCATTTGGGTAGTTACAACGTCCTTGTAGGATTTGATTCTGAATACAATTCCAAATGTACACTATAGTCCCTAAACCCCTTTACAGCATTGGGGGTTGAATAATTTTGGTCACAACTGTAAATGACAAAAAAGAGCGCTGGTTAATTTCTTTTCCTTCAGAATGTCACTTTCATTTCTCCACAGTAGCAGTTTTCAGTGAGCCATTGAGCGCCGTGAGTTCCCTAAGGACAGACATACATTAATGTATACATCCTTCTGTTTGTCATTCTGAGTACAGCCGCATTGTGTGAAATTATCTTCTCAGCCATTCAGGCAAATGCTTCTTTAGAGGTCTAGCCTTCATCCTAAGGAAATGTTACTGATTACTATAATGTTGAAAAGTAGAGGTCTCTTTTTAATAAATCATTCTCAAAAAAGTATGAGAATCACAAAATTTAAATAATTATAACATCAATGTTCATATATAATTTCATTGTAAATAACTGAAACTATTATTTTCAATGGGAAAGTTTAAACCCTGAATAGGAATCATATGTGACTTGGAAGTACAGTATTGCTGTTTGTGTTCAAACGGGAGATTCACCTCTTCTATTTGTTCAGGTTTAGTTCCAATTTAAATAGTTGTTGGCTTCCTTTAACCCCTTCATGCCTAAGGGTAAAACATATCTTAATGCCTAAGCACAATTCTGCACCTTTGACATGTGTTGGCAAAACTGTACATATCATCAACTACTTTATGCATCCAGGTGGATTATACCTTGTTTTTGTCAGGAAAAATGTAACTTTCATTTGGTGAAGAATGGTAATGGATGGCTCCTGATTTGTTTTTTATTACCAAAGGAAAACTGGCCAAACTTTTTAAATTTAGCTGTATATTTCTTCTACTACAATAACCTACCACCAAAGAACAACCCAAAATAATTTCTCCTGCTCCTGATGAGCACAATGTTTATTCTGCCACTAACTGACACTGATACTAATTTAAAGATGAAAAAAAAAAAAAAAAAAAACCCGCCCCCCAAAAACCTGACCATCATTTTGACCCTGATCTTGACCTTTGACCCTGACCTTGACCTAAACACTAACCCTGGCACAGACCTAGATCAAACCTTGATCTAGTATTTTTTGTTTACTTTTAACTTTTTATTTATTTTATTTTTTACACATTTTTTTTCCTCTCTGAAAGGACAGAGAGAGATACAATCTTTTTCTCTTCTCCATTCAGAGAGAGAAAACAAGGGGGGGGGGGGGCAGGCTTCACAATGACTAATCACTGTAATAGCCAATCAAAGGCTATTATTGCGATCAGGTGATTCAGAATTGGGAGTTCTAGGTCCCGATTTTTAGAACACAGTGACACCGGTCTTTTTGCTGGGAGCACGCTATGCAGTGTGCTCCCAGCAGAAAGACAGGTACGCAAATTAGCGGCCCCATGGAAAAAAAACAGTTCTGTGAGGCTGCTAATTTGCATCAAGGGGTTAAAAGAGAAGAATGGGGGTAACCTAAAAATGTCTACTCACCTATATGTGATCACTCTGTTCTCAGCCTTTGGTGATCAGAGAGCCGGCAACTGTCAGCGGCTTTTTGCTCTGTCCCTGCAGCACTTACTGAAGCACTGGACTGGGAAGGTGGCAGGAGTGACTGGCTCAGTTCCTCAGAGGCACACTGAGAGACTGAGCCAACTGCAGGACCAGGGTCCAGGCATCTGCATGTATCCCGACTGAGCCTCGACCAACTGAGTGATGTCAGCTCACAGCAGGCTTTAGCCAACGGCAGGCTGACAACAGGAGTGCATTACGAACTGCACTCCTGTTATCCATAGGAGAAGTATAGTTAAAATAGTTTTGGCCATACTTCTCCTTTAAAGTGGTTCTAAAGTCTCAAGTTTTTTGTACCTTCATGCATTCTATATGCATCCCCCAGCGCCCCTAACACTTACCTGAGCCCCCTCTTGATCCAGCAATGTCCACAAGAGCCTCGGTTCTCTGGGGACTCTCACTGCCCCCATAGCAAGCTGTTTGCCCTAGGGGCTCCGGATAAGAGGGAGGGGCCAGAAAATCCAGCGAATGATCCGAGAAGAGGAGGATCTGGGCTGCTCTGTGCAAAACTACTGCACAGAGCAGGTAAGTATGACATATTTTATCATTTTAAGAAAAAAACACAAGACTTTAATATCATGTTAATTTGTCTGCCATTTCATTGTACACAAATGCAAATGCTATAGAGAATAAATGGAGTAAGCTTGCCCCAAATGATGTGTGGATGTGGAAATGCCTGCAAGTACATAATAAAATACTTCAACATAACTTTTGAAACAGGAATTATGTACATTTATTCAGCAACCCTAAAATCTGGGAGTAGTGAGAAAAATGAACAGTAAAAAAACAAGAAGGAAGGCGGAGTTGTCTGACCATAATGAGTAGTCAGATTCCTTGTTTCATTTTAACATAGTGCTGTGACTATGGACAAGAAATAAACTTTTCTTCCCATTATCTCTTTTATTAAATAATCTAATTGGTCACTAAAGTGACAAGTATAATTAAGTAATAAGTTGTATTCTTGAGTAGTTCTTATCTGTAACGGTGCTCAGTTTATTTAGCCTTACAAGGAACAATCTACTTTGTGATAGATATGTATATATATTTTTACGGTCATGCCTGTTGTTAAGATGGCTAAAACCTCACTGGTCTTTCAAAAGATAAACATCGGTTGGAAACGAGTCAACCTCCTATTCTATTAGTATTCTCCTGCTAAGTATGCTTCACTGTTTGTCTCTGTGCAGTCTCTCTGCCAAGCACAGATCTGTAAAAAGAGCTCTGATCCAGTTTGAAAGGTGCATTTTGTTCATGGCCCTCTCTTTGATAGACCTAGTCTGGACTTTTTGTATTCTTGAATAAAGCATATAGAAGGACAAAGTTACTCTTTAAAGGGGATTTTCGAAGATAATAGATTATGCCATGAGAATAGCCCATTACTGCTGCTCTTTGACAACATTATAACAGCACAAAAGCTTTATAAATCTGCCATAAACATGTGCAGTTTTGGCTATGCTTTGATATGTTTTACACACAATAATGTTTAACTGTTTCCTTATATATTAAATTAAAAATAAATGGTTTCCTCCACAATTCTCAGTGTGTAAAAATCTCAACAATTATTAGAGTCTGTTCAGTTTTTTTTTTCTGCAGCTGTTAATCCCTGCATTGTCCAGAATGTAAAATAAATTCAGAGGACTATTTTTAAGTGTATTGAAGATATCACAAGTTACTGCATGAATGAAATATTTAATATCACTACTTGTGTGCTTTCATTTAGGCAAGTAGTAGTGAAACATGCACAGCCTTTGAGTTTTGAAGCATTTGGGCCATGACCACTTCAATCACTACAGGGCCTGTGCTAATGTCCTGTCTTACATTTTATTTAAATAGCTATGTATCACCATAACTCAGTTCCTACCAGGGGCGGACTGACCATTTGGAAACTCGGGCACTGCCCGAGGGCCCTGGGTCAGTAGAGGGCCCCATGAGATGCCCCTGGTACCTTTTTCATAGGCTTTTTTGAGTTTGGGCAAGGACACAGGGACCCCATGATCCCCTATTACCCAGGGGCCCAATGAGTTGTCAGTCCGCCCCTGGTTCCTACACAAACACAGATATCAGTGGTATGAATATATTTATAATGGGAGCCTGATAGCTGCAGATTAAATCACTGTCAATTGTCCCAGTCAGTGCCGCAGTGAGTGCTAATTAAAAGAAACCTGCACAAGTGAAACATGTACAAGTGGAACACAAAGTGTGACATCCTTCCAGATATGTTAGTTTCCAGGCTGATCTCCTGGCTTCCACACTTTCTAAACCACTAACCTTGAAAAAGTGTGCCACAAAAAAAAAAGAGTGCAATATAAACTTATGCACGCTGGATTTGGGTCAGTGGCTCAAAAATTTACTGATTAGATTGAAAAAAATAGCCAGGCAACTAGAATTTTTAGAAAGATAGGTTAGCAAGAGAAGACTACATGTTCCCTCATTACGTTTCCTTTAAAGCCAAACTCCAGGTGTTTTTTTTCTTAGACACACTGGGTATGCGTTCTTTTCCATCTATTATCTGTTTTTTACTGTGGTTGCATTGAACTGCATTATGCTATTGATGTATACTGATATCTAGTCAAAGATCAGTACCACTACAACTTGCCTAACTCCTGTATTTAGTATCTCCCTCTGTTCTCTCTTCCTGTTTTGGGCTAGTTAACTCCATTCTAGCTAGACCCACCCTGCTTCTTCCATATTCCCTTAGTCAGAACTAGTCATCACAAAAACAATGTATAGAAAGTAATTGTCTTCACACTTCAAAAATCTATAAAAACATCCTCTCTGCTGTATTTTGAGAAGTAAACTTGCATTGGATTCCTCTGTGTCTTATTGAAGAGTTAAGCTGCCAGTGGATGGTGCCAAGTGAGCAAGTGTCTTCACTGTCCTCACAGATTGGGTTTAAGCAGGTACAGTATTTCATTACATGTATTGGCATTTTAAACAGAACAGTAAAAATATAGGTTTCTAAAGTCTTTTTCATGTGCCGTATTGTCCCCCCCCCTAATGAACACAATGGGGTTGATTTAATAAAGGTAAATATACTTCGCACTTCAAGTGCACCGCAAGTACAGTTGCCTCAGATCTGAGGGGCAGCTCTGGAATGAAGCAAGTTCTGCTGATTTCTTTTATCCGATCATGTGCAGGCAAAAATTTAAACTAAAACCTTTAACAAACTACCAACTACTTAGAAAAAACGAACTCTAAAAACAAAAAAAACTCAAATAACCTAACTACTAACTAAACTAAAACTACTAACAAAACTAACTAACTAACAAAAAAACTAAAACTACACTAAACTCTACTACTTAAAAAAAAAAAAACACCTAAACTAAAAACTAAAACTAAACTAACTCTCAACTAAAACTAAACAAAAAAAAAACTAAAAAAACTAAAAAACTACACTTTCCGTGGCACTTGCAGTGCACAGCCTAGTTTGCCTTTAGAAAAATTAACCCCATTGATCTGAGTGAGCACATGCTGCAATATATATTCTGATATCTGCTTGCACA